CAGGTTGGGGATAACAGAAACTAGATAGCAGATGTGTTTTGTGAACTAAAATAAATTTAAGGGTAGATATCATTTAATATAAAAATCATGTCTGAAGTAGAAAGCAAAAACAAGCTATTTACTTGCGCACTTCAGATAAATACGCAAGATAAATTTTCAGTCTGTTTAAATTATTGAGAATCATCTCTGGAATGTGGTAGAGAAGGCGTGCCTTCTTGCAGAGCATGCTCTGTAGCGGGCGCTGGATACATACACCAAGAGACTGTATCAAGAGCAGAGGCCGGAGCAGGTTTTGAAATAGTTGATGTCAGTAATGATTTTTTTTAACTTTTCATTTCAGAATTGATAGACTTTATTTTAAAAGATCAATTTCAAAGTCTTTTGATCTAGCCTTTAAGCTCAGTTTTATTCACCTAAGATTTTGTTTGCATTTCAGTCCACAAATTGAGTCAGTACTCTGCATTTTGGGGTACCATAGAGAATAAAAGGATATTTAAATCTTAAAGATCTATTTAACTTATTTTTTTTTAAAGTTCATTTTTACACTTATATCAGAGTTTTCTGATTCAGGAAAAATGATGGCTATTCCCTGACAATGATCTAAATGTGGAATGATCCAATTTAGCAGTCCGTTTGAATCTCTACATTGAATTGTTGCGATTTCCCAGCAGAGTCAACCAAGTGCGTTTTTGTATTTGATAGCAGAACACTCGAAAGTATGTGTCCTCGTTTTCATTTTCTCTTCCTCTCTTAAGGTGGTCTGGGTGTTGCTGCGGAGAGGCAGTGGCCCCCACTCCAGTGCTCTTGCCTGGAAAATCCCAGGGACGGAGGAGCCTGGTGGGCTGCAGTCCGTGGGGTCGCTAAGAGTCGGACACGACTGAGCGACTTCACTTTCGCTTTTCACTTTTATGCGCTGGAGAAGGAAATGGCAACCCACTTCAGTGTTCTCGCCTGGAGAATCCCAGGGACGGGGGAGCCTGGTGGGCTGCAGACCGTGGGGTCACGAAGAGTCGGACACGACTGAGCGACTTCACTCTCACTTGTCACTTTTACGCGTTGGAGAAGGACATGGCAATCCACTCCAGTGTTCTCGCCTGGAGAATCCCAGGGATGGGGTCGCACAGTCGGACACGACTGAAGTGACTTAGCAGCAGCAGGGTGTTGCTGACTCTAGTCCTTGGACTCTCTAATTGGTAGAAATAGGTTAAGAGGCCGGACGAGGAACTCAGGTAGCAGGAGGAAATCGAAGTAGAATCGGGCGCCCTTGCTCGCCCCCGCGGAGGGCGGGCTGGTCCCCTCCGAGCGGTGGCCGAGAAGGCAGGGAAGTGTAGCCTGCTGCAGGGCGGCTTGGGGGCCGCTCACCCTGGAGGCTGTCCTGGGGGCAGCGCTCAGGCACGGTACGCTTTTCCCCTGGCCCCTCAGATGATGGTTGATTTGTGGCCTTTTTGTATCTAAGGTTCATCATTTGCCCCAGCTGTGTGGCACGCAGTTATTTTTAGCCCGTTCTAGTTTCTTCGTATTCTGTTGAAGGGCGTGTTTGTCCAGGTGCGATCTCTCCGGGAAGGGTGTCCAGGTTACTAAAGACCGTGAGAGAAGCCGCTGTTTGTCGCTTTCTGTGCAGCTCAGAGTCGCCGTCACCGCATGGAGCTGCCTTGGGGAGGCATGGAAGGTCAGCTCTCCCCTGGGGGTTTAGTAAATGGTTAAAAACCCTTTTTATCAAAGAGTATATTGGATGCTGACTGTTTTGGCTTGACTAATGATTAATATGTGTGACTCTGGTTGTAGTAATACAGTGCAAAAAGTCCTGTTGCGCATATAATAATAATAATAATAATAATAGCAACAATTCCTTGTTGATGAGTTCAGGTTTTAGAAGGTACTGAGAATTTAAGAAATATTCTTAGGAAAATTTTGTGAAAGTTGATGACATTTTTATATATATATATTTTTTTAGTTTTTTGTGGGGTCTAGAAGGGAAGTCATTTAAATCTTATTTTCTTTGTTTATTTACCTGTCTGAGGGTGTAATTCCACCATCTCTACGGCAGACATTTCTGAAGACATTCCTCTTTTCTTTTTGGAGCTTTGAGATTATTTGGTTACTGTTTCTTTTTTTTAGCCAAAAGCAAGAGTAACAATAAAATAGAGAGTCTTATCTCCCTGGTGTATCACAGTCCTATTCAAATAGTGGCTCATAAACTAGCGTTGGTTAAGGACTTTTACTACCAAGCTATGCTCTTCTAAGAGTAAGTTTGTCTTTTACAGCAATTTGGTGTTTTCTACCCATCCAGTCTGGGGAGGTCTCATCAACAGGGTGTTATGGAACTTGTATGCTGAGTAGATGGTGCGAATACCCACCACTTTTACCCACAGATGTGAGGACTCTTTGGACAATAGGTTCAGCCATCAAGGGAGAATTTCTAAAATAATTCTAAAAGTCTCTAACTTTTGCAGTTTCAAAAATTATGACTAATACTAGTCGATCCTGTGAAATGTATCAGGAAACACCTAAAAGCTCTAGGTCAATATGCCATTGGAAGGACTGATGCTGAAGCTCCAAAACTTTGGCCACTTGATGCCAAGAGCCGACTCATTGGAAAAGACCCTGATGCTGGGAAAGACTGAAGGCAAAAGGAGAAAGGGGCAGGGGAGGATGAGATGGTTAGCTAGTATCATCACTGACTCCGTGGCCGTGAGTTGGAGCAAACTTGGGCACAGTGGAGGACAGGGGAGCCTGGTGAGCTGAGTCCATGGGCTCGCAGTGTCAGACATGCCTTGGCGACTAGAGAGCAGTATGCCCAGCACAAGCAGATTAAGATCCATTTGTCTTCAGTTCACTTTCTCATAAATTATTGTTTTTTTTCTAAGTGCCTTTTAAGGTGGAAATAGTCAATGAGATGTTAACTGTTTAAAAAAAATTCCTGAATATATCACTCCTACTTGGAAATAGCTTACATTTTACATTAAAGTTAGGCTAATTCTGAATGCCATCCCTGTAATAGCTCAGGATAGTTCCTGACTTAAAAATACATCTGCTCTATGTTCTAATGGACATGAATTAATTAGAAGCAGTAACAGATATTTTCTATTTATGATAGACTCAATATGCCAGCAAATTTGGAAAACCCAGAAGTGACCACAGGACTGGAAAAGGTCAGTTTTCATTCCAGTCCCAAAGAAAGGCAATGCTAAAGAATGCTAAAACTACCACACAATTGCACTCATCTCACATGCTAGTAAAGTGATGCTTAAAATTCTCCAAGCCAGCAATACATGAACCGTGAACTTCCAGATGCTCAAGCTGGATTTAGAAAAGGCAGAGGAACCAGAGATCAAATTGCCAACATCTACTGGATCATNTTTCCAGTGGTCATGTATGGATGTGAGAGTTGGACTATAAAGAAAGCTGAGCATTGAAGAATTGATGCTTTTGAACTGTGATGTTGGAGAAGACTCTTGAGAGTCCCTTGGACTGCAAGGAGATCCAACCAGGCTATCCTAAAGGAGATCAGTCCTGGGTATTCATTGGAAGGACTGGTGTTGAAGTTGAAACTCCAGTACTTTGGCCACCTGATGCGAAGAGGACTCATCTGGAAAGACCCTGATGCTGGGAGGGATTGGGGGCAGGAGGAGAAGGGGACGACAGAGTATGAGATGGTAGGATGGCATCACCAACTCAATGGACATGGGTTTGAGTAGACTCCAGGAGTTGGTGGTGGACAGGGAGCCCTGGCTTGCTGCAGTCCATGGGGTCGGAAAGAGTTGGACATGACTGAGTGACTGAACTGAACTGAACTGAACTGATGCCTATTTATTGCTGTGTATTTCCCCATTACGCCTCCAGGTCTACCTTCTACCTTTCTCCTCTTTGCCCTGAGCCTTCCAGCATCTACTTTGGTTTAGTAGATGGAAGCACAGGTAGATGCTTGGAGTGCAGTGCTGGGGGCTCCCTCTTGGCACGCTCAGGTCAGATGCATCTCTCCATCAAAGGCCAAAGATGGTCCTTGAGCACCGCCGTCTTATAGCTATTCATCCTGGGTCCTTCTGCCCATCAGTCCTGAGAGTAGTAATGGTTCCCTCTCTTCTTGCCAGCCCCTGAGAATGGCACATCTTAGACTTTTCTAAACTTTATTTTTTACTTGAATAACTCTGCTCACACATTTGGAAATATCTCTTTATTTAGTTACCCCCATTTAAGGGTGCTGTCCACTTCCTTCTAGAACCTTGACTAATGACCCAGTTTAAAAAATTAGCTATCTTAAAAAATGAAATGCAAAATAATTCAATATAAGTCTATCCATTTCATTACTTCATTATGTGTCTGACTATGCCACTAAACACAAAATAGTATGACCTGGTTTTGGTCATACACTAATAAAATGTGCTCAGAAATATTTCACAAGGGTAATAAATGTAGATGTGAGAGTCAGCAGAGAAAGCATAATCAAAATGGCAGAAAAATAGACATAAAAAGAACTTTACAAGTGATTTAAAAAAAAAAACAGAAAGCATAGTAATCTAATGTTTATCACAAGCGCTTAGATAAAGCTTATTATATGCCAGGCTCTTTTCTAACCAATCTAAGTATTTTTACTTGTTTATTTCTTCCAGAAACTCTATAAGGAGGTACTATTCCCAGTGTACAAGTGAGAAGACAGATATAATTCAGTAAATCAGTCTGGTTGTATTCTCTTTACTACGCTGCACTGTTCTTTTAATGGTTTTGCCGATTAAACTGCTAAAGTATAACAAAGACTGAGCATTATATGAAAGGGTTGGTTTATAATGGTGACACAATACAATAACATGGACTTCAAAGCTTAGTTTGACTCCTAGGTCTGAATTTTAAATTTAAGTTCTTCCTTAATATAGTTTTACTTTTAAGCCTGATTTTTCTCCTTGCCACTCTTTTCCCATTAAATCATGAATTTGCATGAAATGTATTACTGGGTGCTGTGAGTGCATTTGTATTCTAATATAAAATTTAATATTTCTCTTTAGGTTTATGATCTGTCAACATGCCTAACAAATCACCTGTGATTGGTAAATCTGGAGTAGTATCTTCCTCTTATGAAAAATTAAAGTAAGTTTGAAAGAAAGTTTCATATTATTAGAGTAGAAGACCCATATATATCGTAGAATTTAGAAAGTTACAGAAAATTGTGAACAGTAAAATATAATTACTCGTAATTCAGTGTTGTTGTTTAGTCCTTAAGTTGTGTCCAGCTGTTTGTGACCCCATGGACTGTAGCCCACCAGGCTTCTCTGTCCATTGTATTTCCCAGGCAAGAATACTGGAGTGGGTTGCCATTACCTTCTGCAGGGTATATTCCTGACCTAGTAATCAAACCTGCATCAGCAGACAGATTCTTTACCACTGAGCCACCAGGGAATCCCTCATAGTTAAGTAACAAAGAATACAAATGCTAAGGTTTACTATTCTATAAATTAATAACTTTGTAATGATTTTTTGTAAGATCATATATTTAAAAAATTTTGAATTCTATATTTCTTAAACTAAGACTTGTTCTATAATCATAGTCTTTTAAGTTGCGGTACCATGAAATGCATAAGAGAAAGTATTCAATAACTACTGAATGATGAAGTGTCTTAGTTACTTCTAAGCCCTTTCCTGTTTCAAAGTAAGCCACAGTAGACTATTTTTCACATATCAAAGTATTTCTTTGGGATAGGTTTCTGAAGTGAAGTAAACTTTTACTAGACCAAAGTTTGTTAATTTAAAAATGGTTTGGGATTCTGAGAAAATTAAAAGCTTCTTTAGTTATGCTGGGTCCTTGTTGCGTGCTCAGGCTTTCTCTGGTTGCGGTGGCCGGGCCCCTCTTCACTGCAGTGAGTGTGGTTGTGGTGGGCGGGCCCCTCTTCACTGCAGTGCGTGTGGTTGCGGTGGGCAGGCCCCTCTTCACTGCAGTGAGTGTGGTTGTGGTGGGCGGGCCCCTCTCACTGCAGTGAGTGTGGTTGTGGTGGGCGGGCCCCTCTTCACTGCAGTGAGTGTGGTTGCGGTGGGCGGGCCCCTCTTCACTGCAGTGAGTGTGGCTGTGGTGGGCGGGCCCCTCTTCACTGCAGTGAGTGTGGTTGTGGTGGGCGGGCCCCTCTTCACTGCAGTGAGTGTGG